GCTCGGCCGCGAGGAGCCCCTCATCTCGATGGACCACCAGGGCAAGGTGGTCTGGTGCCGGAATAACGAGGTGCAGACCCTCAACCTGGGCACCCTGCCGGCGGAGAGCTTCAGCCGCCCGGGCCAGGCCATGGTGGATGGGTTCGCCTGCGAGCCGACCCGCGTGGTGGCCCCCACCAAGGAGCTCGGCGAGTCCGGGCTCTTCCCGCAGTCGCTGTCGCACAGCCCCAATGGCCGGTTCGTGGCCGTGGTCGGCGATGATGAGTATATCCTCTACTCGGCGCTGGCCTGGCGCCAGATGCACTTCGGCCAGGCGCTGGACTTTGTCTGGTCGCACCAGCCGAACTACCATGCGGTCCGCCACAGCGGCCACCGGGTGCAGATCTTCCACCAGATGAAGGAGACCCGCACGATCCAGACCAACTTCCCGGCGGACGCCATCTTCGGCGGGGCCTGCCTGGCCGTTTGCTCGTCCTCCTTCGTGTGCTTCTTCGACTGGGAGTTCGGCCTGCTGACCCGGCGCATCGATGTCTCGGCGCACACCATCATCTGGAACCAGGCCGGCGACCATGTGGCCATCTGCTCGGATGACAGCATCTTCCTGCTGAGCTACGATGCCGGCATGGCTCGGTCGGCGCTGGCCGCCGCGTCGGCCACCGGCGAGCTGCTGGACGAGCAGGGCGGCGTCGAGGGGGTCTTCAATGTGACGGCCGAGCTGTCGGACTCCCTGCTGACCGGCTGCTGGGTGGAGAATTGCTTTGTGTACACCACCCGCCGGGGGTCCGGCGGGTCGTCGACCCTGGCCTATGCCACGGCCAATGGGTCCTTCCGCCATGTGCTGGCCACTCTGGAGCAGCCGCGCTACCTGCTGGGCTACCTGCCGAAGGTGGCTGGCGGCCGCCTGGTCCTGGCGGATCGGGACTGCGCGCTGGAGACCCGGCCCCTGCCGCTGTCGCTGCTGGCCTACCAGTCGGCCGTGGCCCGCGATGATCGGGTCCTGGCCGAGCGTCTGTTGCCCTTCGTGCCGAAGTCCCTGCACAATGAGCTGGCACGCTTTGCCTCCACCCGCGGGGACATCGACGCCGCGCTGGCCCTGGCCACCGACCGCGATCTGAAGTTCGACCTGGCCATGAAGGCCGGCCGCCTGGAGCTGGCCATGGAGCAGGCCGAGGCCCTCGACCGGACGGACATCTGGGCCAAGATCGCCGAGCGCGCGCTGGCCGACTGGTCGCAAGTGCGTGACACCCCTGCCCTTTCCATGCCGC